TGAGGCCAGCCTAGGCCACTTAGTGAGATCCTATCTTAAACTAAAAAGCTAAATAAGGGTACTGGATCACTGGTCGGTGACAGATGCTTCGCTAACACGAGTGAAGCCCTAGGTTCAGTCTCTAGTGTGGAGGGGAGAAGAGGGAGGAGGAGAAAAGAGACCCAGCGTGTGAACATTCATTGATCTTAGAAATGATGACACCACTAAATGAGTTACAGCTAACAGCTGCAACAGAGCACTAGGGCCTGTGAGAAAGCCCGGGCAGCGAGGCTTCTTGCTCCCAGCAAGCTCATGGTTCTGCTAGGGCACAGAGCTGGATTCTCTTCAGGCTGTGTGGCTGGGTAAGGCTAGTCAGTGACCATGAGGTAGTGTTTCGGGGGAGCCATGGCTGCCCAAGGACTGAGGTTTGAGGACAGTCTCAAGAGGGCAAAGGCTCTGTCCCCAGTCTCACCTGTGGACAGTGTACCTCTGGGAAGGACTAGGCAGGGAAGAGGGAGCGAGGGAGGGAAGAAGGGAGGGAGAGGTTGTAGGACCGGAATATAGGACCGGAAAGCAGAACCATGAGCTTACTGGGAGCAAGAAACCTTGCTGCCCGTGCTGTCCTACAGGCAGGCGTGGGGGCCCTCGGTGGGGGTAGGAACTGAAGTTCTATTAGGCTAATGGCACTGTGGCCCATCCCCCCCTTTCTCAGGCTCCACCATCATGGCTGAAAGGGGCGGCCCATCTCTCCCCTGCTCACCTGCATCCACTCCAACCTCTCCCAGTGCCCTGGGCAGCCGCCTCTCTGATCCCCTGCTCAGCACCTGCAGTTCCGGGCCTCTGGGTGGCTCGACTGGCGGTGAGTACCAAGGCCCTGGGGTTGGGTCATGCTTCCCTTCTCATACGTATATTCTTCGGAGAGGGACCGGCCGTGCAGCCTTTGTTAGGGCTGGGGCTGGAAGCTCTCACCAGGAGACTTTTTTAAAAATTATTTATTTATTATTTATACAGTGTTCTGTCTGCAGGCCAGAAGAGGGAATCAGATCAAATTACAGATGGTTGTGAGCCACCATATGGTTGCTGGGAATTGAACTCAGGACCTCTGGAAGAGCAGCCAGTGCTCTTAACTCTGAGCCACCTCTCCAGTCCCGAGACTTTTATTCTTAAAAAATAATAATAATTTTAATTATTTTTGAGTGTGTGTGTGCATGCATGAATGCGTGAGGTGCCTGATGAGGTTGGAGATGTGCTGGGTGCCCCGGAGCTGGAGTTATAGGCAGCAGGTGGTTGCAAGCTACCTGATGTGGTGCAGGAATCAAGCTCAGGTCCTCTGGAAGGGCAGCCCTCCTCTCTGTTGACACAGCTCTTCAGATGTCTCAGTTAGGGTTTCTGCGGCAGTGAAGAGACACCACTAGCGCAGCCACTCTTCTAAAGAAAAACCCTGAATTGTGGGCTTACAGTTTCAAAGCCCATTAGCGCTACGGCAGGACATGGCAGTGTGCAGGCAGACATGGTACTGGAAAAGGAGCCGAGAGTTCTACCTACATCGTGATCTGTAAGAAGCAGAAGGAAGAATTGTCACAGTGGCCAGACCTGAGCTTCTAAGACCTCAAAGCCCCCCTCCACAGTGACACACTTCCTCCAGCAAGGCCACACCTCCTAACAGTGCCACTCCCTCTGGGCCAAGCATTTATACATGAGGCTATGGAGGCCATTCCTGTTCAAACCACTAGATGTGTAGCTGTCACTTTTTTAAAAATAATATTTTTATAAAGATTATTTTAAATTTGTGTGTATGTGTGCGCGCATGTGTGTATGCATTGTGTGAATATGTGTGTGTAGGCGCCATGAAGCCCAGAGAGTGTATCTGATCTTCCGGAGAACCTCTGGAAATGTACCCAGGGTTAGTGTAGGAGGCTCATGGCTCAGAAGATTTGGGAAGTCCTTTTTTTCCCTTTCCTCCTTTCCTGTTACTGCTCCTCTGGCCCTGGTCTGGGGCTGTGTGGCTGGGGCTGAACTACTGGAACTCAGCTTCTTCCTTTGGGCAGGGAGGTGGGATGCCAGTGTGAACAGCTGGCTTTCCATCGTGGAGGAAGACATGAGCCCAGGATCCCCTTTCTCATAGGCCCTGGGCTGGGCTGGGTCACATCCCATTCTGATTGGTGCTTTTGCTCTCAGGGACGGCCCCCAACTCACCTGTGAGCCTGCCCGAGTCACCAGTGACCCCAGGTTTGGGCCAGTGGAGTGACGAGTGCACCATTTGCTATGAACACGCAGTGGACACAGTCATCTACACGTGTGGCCACATGTGCCTCTGCTATGCCTGTGGCCTGCGCCTCAAGAAGGCCCTGCATGCCTGCTGCCCCATCTGCCGCCGCCCCATCAAGGACATCATCAAGACCTACCGCAGCTCCTAGCCCATAGCCCACTGCAGAGCCCACCCGCACGCCCACTTCCGCAGACGTCAGCCCAGCAACAGCGAAGGGCGAAGCCAACAGGGTCCCTTCAACGTTTTCAAAACTCTTCCTCCTTTTCCATAAAACATGGGAAACCAAGGTCCCTGGAGGTTTGGGCTGAGAGGGTCTGAGGCAAGGAGTGGGCGGGAGCGGGGGGGGGCACAAGCAGTACATATGAGTGGAGGGGAGGAGAGAAGGCTACCCCACAATCTCCTCTTTACCCAGGTTTCTGCATGGTGAGGGGCTGAAGCCGAGTCTCAGCTTGCTGCCATCCCTCACGATCTAGGCAGATTTCTAAGCTGTGCTGCCCGTGTGGCACCTGGAGACAGCGAACATGTAGCTTCCCATGGGCAGCTCAGGAAGAGGCCAGTGGACTCCTCTCACCCTGGGCAGATGCAAACTGCATGTCCTGTCTCTTCTTCCTTACCCAGAGTGGGTAAACAGACAGGCTGCAGAAGATTCCAGGTCCTAGGTCCTTGACCTCTCCTTGCCATAACTTGCACCAATCATCTCCCTGGTGCCGTTGCCTAGGGTGCCCTTCAGTGTAGGCTGAGGTGGGCCTGCTGTTGCCGGGGTCTCAAAGAACAGGTCCACAGCCACTCCTAAGGCCTGACCTCCCTCATCTCAGTGCCCGCCTTGGCCTGGGCTGATTCTGCCATCGTATGCCCAGGAGGGACAGGAGCCCTCAGTGGGGTGGGGGTTTCCTGGGCTATGGACAGCCCTTTTCCTTATTTTAATTTATTTATTTATTTGGTTTGTGAGTTTTGTTTGTGGGTTAATTCTAACCTGGGGGCTCTTAAAATGCTACTATTGGGGGGGGGCTCCCCGGTGAAGGGGGCAGCAGAGAGCAGTCACCCAGAATTCCCCAGGCCCTCACACAAGGCTCTTGGGCAGTCCTGCTAATTCTTGGGTGGAACTCCAAGCTGAGGCCTCCCAAGAGGTGGATAAGCCTCTCTTGGATGTTGGACACTGGCATCCACCCGTGCCCTTCCTCCCTGGGTAGGAGCTACGTTAGTGTAGTTGGTTCAAGGGCGTCTGCTCCCCAGGAGTTTATCTCTATACAGACATCAAAAGTTCTGGAAGGTTGGGGAAGGTTATTGACATATGGGCCAGGGACCAGAACGGAGATCTTTGTTAGAAGGGTGGATCCTGAAGGCTGGGCTCTTAGTCCTGCTAAGCAAGTGTCCATCACTACTGTCTCCCTGCCTGCTCAGGGTTACTATGGAGCCTTAGCCTGGGCTCTTCCAGCCCTTGGCCCTCCAGAGATGGCTTCTGCCTTTGACAGGCAGGGTCTGGGGCTCTGTGCTGGCCACTGGCCAGTTCTATGGCCCCGGCCAGAGGTTACCCTCCAAACCACAGCTTCCCCTGTGTAAAGTGGCTTGGGGGTGGAATACTCTTCATGTGGTTCCTGGGAGTTCTTCTGGGGTGTCTCCTAGGGGGGAACGTACTGGGGAAGCATTGAGAGTGGGGTGCCAGGGTGGACATTGCCTGCACTGCCCTTGTAGGGACCTCGGGAATCTGTGCCACCCTGGGTCTCCTCTCTTTAGTCACTCGGCCTGGTAGACCCTTTCTGTGAAAGCAGGCTGGAGCTGGTAAGTGGCCCCATCCAGTTCGGGGTCATTTGAGAGATGGAGAAAGTCCGAGCACTGGGCTGTCTGACTGGAGGTGGGAAAAGAAGCCATCGTCCATTCTGCTAGAACAGAGGTAGCACTGCCTCCTTTGTGAACTGGGTCACTGTGTCTGTGAATAAAGGTGATTTTGTACCAGCCTGGGGGCTGTGCTGTGTGTCTGGAGGTGGGGAGGGGACCAGTGTGTAAACACACCTGAGCCGTTAGGGGTATCAGGGACAGCCCCAGTCACCCCTCCATAACTGTAGTCCAAAGGGCCTATGACAGAGATGCCTCCTTAGAGCCAGGCTTTGGAGCATGGCCTGGGGTTCAGGCAGTGGGGTCCATAATACTAGGCAAGCCTTTTGAGAGACGCTGCTGCTCTTCTGGTGGCCTTGGGACTTTGAGCAGGGGAAACAGGTTGGACACCAAAGGAAGTCATAGGCACGCAATGCTGTTTCCTCTCAAGCCAGAGATCCTGTGACGTGATTATCGCCACCTAGAGTCTAACAGGGTTACAACAGGTCAACCCTGTGGCTGGGATGGGGAAGAGGTATTCTCCCCCCCCCCCCCCCCCCCCCCGGGTCTAGACAGTGTTAGAACACATTAGCAGGGCCAGGCCCCAGAGACTTGTGGGATGCCTGCCTACACCCTTCCCCTGGAGGATGCTCTCAACACCTGGTAGCCCACCTCTGAACTGACCTCAGGTCCATTTCTTTCCTGCCTACTAGAGACCAACACTACTAGGTAAGGACCAGGGACCCCCTTTGGCCACTCCCAGAAAGGGACTTGCAGGTGGGAGGGGCTGGAGGAGTTTGTGGGAGCTGATCTCCCCTCCCTTACCCCCGTCCCCTTGAGCTGGTGGATTCTGGAGTCAGCTGCTGTTTGGGCTCGTGGGCCTTTTACTAGTCAACTGAATGGGCCTTCTGAAGCCAAAGAGAATCATGATTCTGTTCAGTTAAAAAGGCCAAAAACTTTATTTAGTTTTTAGGGAAATACAAGATGCATGTAAACATAAACAAAATATTACACAAAACAACCCAAAATTTAAAGTCTAGAAGCATCCCAAGACAGGTCATCCCTACAGACCAAAGAATCCCTTCAAAGCGATAAAGGACACCCGGAAAGTGTGCCCTTCCCCCACGGACACTGCGTGTTTGCGATGAGGCTTATAAAAACAACCCACTGTTAGAATTGTGAGAAACATGGAGATAGATTAGCACCACCAAGGGTCCTGGAGATACGTCAGCACACACACGAATGCCGACTGCATCCATTGTCCCTGACTCAGTTTCTCTGCTGAGGTGAGGAGGAAGGGCTCCTGCTGACCCCCACTACGCTGGCTGGGGATGAGTGGACACTGCGAGAAGTCCCCATGATTCAGGTGTCCCAGTGACATCTATCTGCTTGCTCCCACTGTACAGTTCACATATCTATGTTGCAAGAGGGGGCACTAACATCTGCCATCTAGACCTCTCAGTAACTGGGAGGGACGGACACCCATGTCCTCTGTTGGAGCGGACAAGTTGTGAATTTAAGAATGATAACTGCATACCCTTTGAAGTAAACTCTGTGCACCTCAGTAGAAGCCACCAGAAAACAAGTATATGCAGGGATGCTCCTCTGGTCCGATTGGCAACAGGAGGCCAGCTCAGTAGTTAGAACCATAGGTTCTATTAGAGCCTTGGGAATAATGTCCTGTATCACCAAGAAATGAGGTCACCTGCTTCTTGGATAGGTCTGGGCTCTTAAGTTCTAGTATGGGGATGGTGGGTCCCTACTGTGTGGCCTATTATAGTCAATGGCCTCTGATCTGTACAGTCTGACAGTCTGGCCAACTCGGAATTGGACAAAATATATTGGGCAAAAACTACTGGGAATCTGGGAGATGGATTTGTCTTCTGGAAAAGGGCCTCCAAACCCAAACACTGGCTTATGGCTCACATAAGCTTGTGCCTCTCCCCTAAGACAATGAAAATGGAAGCCCGGCTGTGGCCCGGTGAGTGAGTTTTCTCTGGCTGGACTTGTGGCTGGTGAGTGACAAAAAATCCCTGTAAACCTGATCTCTTCATTTCCAAACACGAAGAACTGACTCCTTCCTTCTTCCATAAATAAAGACAGCACAACTCCAAACCCTTGTTCAGCCTTCCCACACCTTCTCTGCCTAAAAGACATCTTCTGGAGCCTCCTCCCAGTGCAGGGACGGTAAGCTCCAGTCACCTCAAACATGGCTACTCATTCGCCAACATGCCTCCCACTAGCTTGCCAACATGCTAGGTCCATCCTTTAACATAACACAATCCTCTCAGGCTTCCAAAGACACAGCCCATTGTCCAACATGAGACCTGGAGTGAGGTAGGGACCTTGGGCATTGGGGACCCTACTCTAAGGCCACTAAGTCCTAGACGGCGATGGCGGAGGGGTACTGACTGTCAAGGTCACTTGAGATTTAGACAGGCTAGGGGAAGAAGGGGTGTCACATGCCCGTCCCTTACAGCCAGGTAGGGGTCAAGGTTCTGGAAAAGAAACCCTCCCGTTGAATCTACAAGCAACGGTGTGCCCACTTGTGGCCTGGGGGCCCAGATGCACAGAACAAAGCAGTAGTTAAAGGCAGTGCTAAGGCCAAAGGTCACCAACCATGTCCTATGACTGGCTCTGATCATAGAGTTTGCGAAACACAGGGGCACGAGACTGTCCCAAATGGGATTTAGACAACTTCCGAAGGTCCCGAGGAGCTCTCCACACCCCCAGGAAGAACCCTGGGCCTGCAGTGGGAATGGCAGGCGCTGCTGTGTGGACACCTACAGGTCCTACAGTCATACCATGAGTAGTTCTCACCCTGTCCAGCCCGCCTCTCCTTCAGAACCAAGCCAAGGCCAGTAGCTCTTGGATCCTCTGGGGATTCGCATCCCAAGTACGTGGGTGCACTAATGTAACCACCTCAGCACTCCACACTCAACAGTATCTATTCCATGTGCTCATCTTGGTGCCCGGATGCTGACCTGGGCTGCTTCTGTTAGATCTGCTAATGCCAGTGTGAAGTTTCCAACTAAATAAAATAATTACAAAAACAAATTTAAAAGACACATTGCACTCTCCAGCCAGAATCGTGTGAATGACACACATACTTGCTGCCAGAAGCTGCGAGTCCCTTGGGACCTGCCCAATGCCAAGGACTAGTTCAATGGAGACCACCTGCCCTGCATTTATTTTCTCTAACCCCATGCTATTTAGTTCAAGTGGGAAATTACCACCGGTCTCTCTCTCACACACAATGCACTCAAGCAATTCCCATGCATGTGGAAATTACCACCGCCGTCACACACACATACACACACATGCACACAAACATTGCTTTCTCAGCCCTCAAAAAAGTGAGGGAATTTTAATTGGTTAGTGATGTGGACTGCTGTCTTTTCAGAGAGCTGCACAGAGTCTAATGATCAGCTATGCAACCGTATCTATTCCAAGGGAGAGACCCAGAAGGGGCCTGGTCCCTCTCCCTGTCTGTAGAGAAATTCACACAAAGGTGGGTGGGAGCAGCAGGCCTACAGTGCTACACAGAAGGGGCTCACCAGCAAGGCTGTGCTTGCTGTCCTGGGGAAGGGGCTGAGCCCTGGGACTTGTTCCTCACCCCCCACAAAACATCGTATTCTGCCACTTTCCTCACTGCACATGAAAGGGGGGGCTGGTGGTGTGTACCTGTCATGGGGGGTTTCTGTTGTCAGAGGCAGGGCGCATGCCTTTTGCCCAAGTCATTGAGATGAATGGGTGGCCGGGACCAGGCCTACTGCAGGCCTGGAGGACTTGGGTCTTACTGGGTACGAAGGGCATAAAGCACCCATCTCTAAATGAGTTTGCTTACAGCCAGGACTCCTGTCCATAAGCTGAACTGAGGTTCCATAGTTTTAGAAAGACTCAAACACACATCCAAAGCATCATAGCCCACATATCAGGAGGCTGGGGAGAGAGGGCTGCTGGGAATCGCTTCTAGGACGGGTCTCTCTGAGCAGCTGGCGGCAAACGGAGAATGAAAACAGGAGTGGGTCTTGGCTGTCCTCATTCTGCTCTGGGGACTGGGCTCAAGAGGTCAGGAGCACCACGCCACTTCCCCAGACCCCTTTCTTCTAGTGTCCTCTGGTGGCTACCCCTCTCTTCATGCCAGGGACGTGGGGAGGAGATAAGACAGTTGGCCCGCCAATCAAATTCACGGTCCGCCCATGTGCTCCACAGTACGATTCTCCCCAGTAGACCCTCCATTTTCCGCAGATGCAACAGGGTCTCCCCCCCCCCCCATTCTGTCCCACATCCTTCTTGGTAATATTGCACTTTTTTTCTGTCTCAGATTGTTTTGATTTTCCATTGAGAATGCAAAGTATTTGGAGGGAACTGGGAAAGTGAGTAACCTTAAAGAAACTATATATTAGTCAAATGCAGGAGAAGCAGGGGTGACTTCACCTGCTCCCCCTTCTAAAAACAGACACTGCAACTTAAATAGTGCTATGCCTACTCTGCAAGTACTAGTCATATGAAAATAATGTTTGGCTGAGATTCCCTTGTCTCTTAGACGATAAAAGTAGTAACATGCCTCGCTGAGGAAAGCAATGGGTATAAATGCCAGTAAAATACGCGGCTCTAACATCTCAAAGTGGCTACAATGATTCTATATAATGCCTTCGTCCATTTAGGAGTGAGAAAGAGGGACCCTTGGGACCAGGCTGGGGTGGAAGGGTTGAGGCCTTGCAAAGAGAACCCGGGCTGTGAAGGGGGCCCCGGGGTAGACAGGAACCGATTGCTGATGGAACCCCCTCCCCCTGCTCCCTCTTGTTGCTTCCCTGTGAGAACACAGAGGAGCCAGGCAGTGTAGCCAGGCCTACGAGTGACAAAAGAAGGGTAAGGTTGGAAGGCCTTTCCTCCACCCTTGTCATAGAAGAGAAGGGTCTTTAGACTGAAAGGAAAACAAAGCACCAGACGACGCATCTTCGGGCATTATATAAACTCAATAATGACCTCAGAAGGGCTCATTAGGATTAAAGTTGCAGTATACAGCAATGCGATGTCATCTTGCATCGTCAGTTCTAACTAATGGAAACTGGCTTTGGACATTGCTGAGATTCCACTTTTTTTTAAATCTTTTTTTTTTCCTTTTTTTTTTTTTCTATTTTTTTGCCTTTCGTCCCATCTGGTTTCGCTCCTAATGGGACAGAGCCCCGGGCCCTTCCCTCCTCCACTGCTGCCACTGTCCGTCCGATATCACAAAGCAGCTCGTTAGCTCTAGGAAAAGGCCTTGTCTGGGCAGGGCTAGGATCCAGGACACAAGGCCTGGCACCCCCTGGCCATGTCTGAGAAGGCCTGGCATGCACCCTTCTTGTTTCAAGTATTCTTTGGGCTTGCAGGGTTTGTGCTGTGCCCTAACGGGCTGGTGGTGAGGGACCTTGGCTATCACTATTTGTTGACCAAGCCTACGTACTGACACTAGGTGGCAGCATTCCCTACTTTTCCCAGACGCCTGAGCAACTCCCAGCCATCCCTGGGGCTGGATGTTACAATGTAAACACAATGACCACACTATGAACTAAAAGGATAGGAGAGGAACGGGGGATTAAATGCAGTGGGAAAACCTGACATTAATTGGGTGATTTGGGGAAAGTCATTTCCTGTCCTGGAGCTGGAGAAACAAGAAGGGATGGGAGGGACTGACCTCTAAGGTCCCTTCCAGTCCTGCTTTGAAAGAGTCTACGATTTCAGGACCCTGGGATTTGGGAGAGGGTCTCTGGGTGCAGAGTCGGGCAGAGAGGGTGGGAAAGGCAGGCTCTGGGGATCTCGGTGGTCCAGTCCAGCTGAGATGCTCTGTGCCTGGCTGGTGCACTAACCATGGAGCTGGCTCAATGCAGACATCCGAGGAGCGAGGCTGTGGGCCATCCCCCTGGCAGACAGCTGTGTGGAAGGTCCTTTCACCTGACAGTCACTCTACTTTAAAATTTTATTTTAAATAGTCATAAATTACTTTTTCTTCTTTTAATAAATATGTGCTGTTTTAAAATGAGAAGAGTATATACTGCATCTTTAAGTAATGCACTTTGCTCTCCGGGTTTTCTTTCCATTTCACCTCAATTTAAAGTGCATTAATTAAGAAATAATGAACCACTTCTTTATCATTATTGTTCAAAAAGTACAAACAATATATCATGAAGACACTAACCACTACCATTAGTACTGCAACCTAGCAGATTAACTCAACATCCCGCTCTATTTAATACTGTCCAGCAGAAGAAAATAACTAATTTCAATTTTAAACAAACTCATGAACACAGAAAAGGAAATAGAACAATGTCACCACGGGCTTTTGACAAAGGAGGCTAGCGGTTTGCATCCGCATATGGGAGGGACATGGACTTGGGAATCCAGGCGGTTAGGGTTGGGAGCCGAAGGCAGACCTGCCTGGGAGGAGGGGTGAGGGGCGATCTTCCTCCCTCGTCTGTCGGAACCGGCAGCCCTTGGTCAGGAAGATGCTGGCAGCTCAGCCAGAAACTGTGAGGCAGGATCTGTCCCAAATCAAAGGCACATGTGGAATCCGCTCCCATCATGAGGGGAGTTCTTGGAAGAAGCCCACTGGGCTTCTCTCTGGAGGGTCCCCCCTGAAATGTCAATCGTTAAATCACAACCCAAAGCGACAGAGGACCGCAGCGAACTCCATTCTTTTGCTTCTCTGTTCCCTGGGGCACTGCCCCTTGGGAAGACAGGGTTGGTTCCTGGTTTCGAAATCTTCCATCCTCTTGGGCACCTGTAGCATTGCCAGCAGGCTAAGGGGCACAGTGGCGGGGGTGCGGGGGTGTCTGCTCCAGGCTGACCCAGCCAGGGTCCTTTCTGCCCAGGGTTGGTGGTGACTTCTCCACAGTAAGGCTTTTTGTGGGCCCTGCCCAGGTTGGAGAAAGTGTGCAGCAGGCAGAGTAGTCACCCAGCAGCCTGGCTTCTGATGATGCCCCCTTCCCTCTTGGGCAGCGACCTGAACACTTTCACCGAGCCCAGGACCTGGCTTTACCCAGTCTCGGATTCCCTGGTGAGGTGCCATGCTAGGGCACTGTGCACACAGTGGAAACCTAAACAAACAACTTGGCATATGGAAAGGCAAAAACGTTAAACCAAAATCAAAATTAAACATCCCTCCATGGAATTCAACAGAAAACTCCACCCACCCCTACTCCCTCTCCTATGTGAGGCTGAGGCCTTTGGGCCCCCAAACAACTTCTAAAATAAACCCCAAAACCAAACGCTGATTTATAACCTCCAAACCAATAACCCCTTCCCAAACATGCACAAGGAACCGCCTACCCGGAAATCCTCGAGCAATTCTAGGTTGTGAGGAGCCTGGCACCGCCCATTCTCTAGGTCAACTCCCACCGCGCCCCGAGGAGGGCAGGCTCTCTTTGCAAGGCCAGGTCAGCCAGCAAAGGCGGGCAGTCCTTGTTGGCATCTGGGAACTCGTAACTACCAAACAGGCTGTGGCCTGGCCCCAGGAAGGACTGAGCTCTGAGGAGACACGGCTAAGCCCCAGAGCTGGTGGTCTTCCAGACACCCACCAGCGGCTGGTGGACGAGAAACCAACACAATGCTAAACACATCTATAACACAAGGGAGGCTTCCAGAGGCGAGAAGCCAGCCACTGAGGTGGCTGAGCAGGGGCAGCACCCTGGACACACCTCATGACATCTCTTCCAGATCTGCAGCAAAGGCGCGACTGGGCTTTCCCATTCGGCCTGTACTAAACGGCATAAGGTCCATCAGCAAAGTCACCAGTGTGTGTGCAGGGGTTCCGGGCCCAGGACAACCCTGCTATTCCCTTTTTCCTACTAAGTGTGTGCACCCGTCACACCCTCCCTTCCAGCTGGAGGGTGTCTTGGGGGGGGGGTCACATATTCTGTAGGGTTCAATGTCGGCATCCCCCTCCCCCTCCCATTGTCCTTCCCCTTGTCTGCAGGCCGCCACTTTTCCAGCGGCAGCCAGAGCAGCACTGAGTCTGGAAGGACCCGGTGCTGCTAGTTCTTCTTCTCAAGGTAGTTGGAGGGTACCCAGCCCTTGAAGGGCTTCACCTCATCCAGGATCTGGCAGTACCACCAGCCGTTGGGGTTCCTCTCCAGCACCTCCATGGAAACCCCCTCTTGGAAGCCAGCTGTCTCCTCATCCCCCTCATAGTCTGCAATAGAGATGTACACATCTTTGAGGTTATTGTGGATGAACTGAGACTTCTCAATAGGCTTAGGATGCACGGGGGAGACGGGGATGCCGTTACGTTGGGTAGGCAGGAGGGGTGATTCTGAGCCTTGGCTGGCAGCCCGCTCTGCCAAGCGGCCCTTGGCCTCAGCAGCTGCTGACCGTGCAGTACTAAAGGAGGAGTTCCTGCGGACACCTCTGAGGCTGTCGGTGGCCGTTAGCGACTCATTCCTCCGCAGGGCACAGGACAGGTTGTTGTCCTTGGGTGGTGGAGACACAAACACGGACTGGGGCCTGACTGCCACCTGCCGCACACCGTTCCGCATCTTCACCGCTACAGTGCCCGAGGTCTTGCCGAACCCCCCAGGAGGCTTAGAGGGGATGGGTGGGGTGACCCTCTTGCTCTGGTTCACAGTGTTCAGCGCTTGCACCCGCTTCTCGATCTTCTCCAGACTGTCCGACCTGCCCTCGCTCTGAGTGCTCTTGACTGTGTCAGGGTCTTTGCCAGCGACGTCAGACTGCTGGTTCTCCTCTGGCACCAAATAGTGGGAGGGAGCCCAGCCTTCTAGCTCCCCAAACCTCACATACCACCATCCGCTTTCTGCCTTTTCTAACACGTGCACCTCAGCGCCCGCCGGGAAGCTGATCTCGGAGTCCTGGACCTTCTGATAGGCACTGCAGGTCACATAGGCGGTGCCTTGCCCTTCCCATTCCTTCATGGGAACACATGGGGGAGTGGTGGCTGGGAGCGGAATCACATCAGCAGAGCCTCTCCTGGACTCGGAAGCTGACTGGGGGGGCAGCTCTGAGTCCTCACTCCTAGAGCCCTTGAGGCCCCCCCGGAGCTGGCCTGTGGGCCTCAGCTGGCGCCGTAAGGAGCGAATGTCCATCTTTTCCTGGCTTTGAGACTCGGCTCGGTTCAGGACTGGCTTTGGTCGGACCGAGGGCTTGGCTCGGGCACAGGAGGCCAGCCCGACCTTCACATCGGCATCTTTCTTGGTCCCGACCTTGGGGGTGCCACGGACGCCCGCATCTGAGGCAGAGCGTGGCTTCGTGTCACCACTGTTCTTGGACAAGGAGGAAGAGGAGGAAGAGGAGGAGGAACAGGTGGTGTTGATGGTGATGGAGGAGGAGAAGGAGACGCTGGACTGGTTTTTCCCCAGTTCTGCCTGGGCATTCTTCTCTGCCTTGAGCTTCAGGAGTGATGATGATTTGGGAGAATCTGATTTAGGGGAATTTTTCATGGCAAGAGACAGTGAGGAGCTTCCAGGGGAGTCACTGTCCCCAGAGGAGCCTCTGGCAGACAGGGTGTCTTCTGTGTAGGGCCTGAAGCCCTCATTCTCATAGATCGTCTCTTCTTCTAGGGCCACATCCTCAGAAGACTCGCCCACCTTGAAGCGGGCCCGCTGCAGGGAGGAGGCAGGTGAGGGCCTTCGGGGCTGGGCAGGACGCCTGTCCCCTGCGCCTCTGTCCTCCGTGGGCTCTTCACTCAGCTCAGGCTCTGAGTCAGAACCAAAGGCCGGGATGTCATACTCAGGTTCCTCATATTTAAGCTTCAGTGGGGAGTCCTGGCTCTCACAGGCACCCACAGGATTCTCCTCGGTCTCCTTAGGTTTGCTTGGGGGTGCAGGTGGGGGCACCTTGGGCCGGGTCAGAGTACTGGTTCGGCGACTCAGGTTAGGCTTCTTGCGTTTATCGATATATGAGGCAGGGGCCCAGCCCTCTTTCTCCCCAATTTGCACGTACCACCAGCCACCTGAGTTTTTATCAATGACCTGAGGGAAGAGAGGCAGGCCAGTGAGTCGCAGGGGTCTCTGGGTCCCTACAATGTCCCTCTCAGCCTATTTTATAGACACAGCCCTTGAATACGTGGCTCACGACCTATGGCAGTCAATGGCAGGCTAGATTCGAACCCTGGTCCTGGTTGTGAGGCTCCCTAAGTCTGTGCCAGTAACTTCTGGAGCTATAGGCCTCCATGACACCCCCAAATCTACTACATTGTTCCTAGACCTATAAAAGCCAACCTGAGAAGAACCTGTATGTATAAAGAATCAGTGTTCCATTGTTCCCATCCTCCACCCACACCCAATACCCCTCGAAAGGGCCTCTTGGGGATAGGCATAAATCAGACTGGGAGGTATAGGCCCGAGACCAGATCTTCCCTGCAGAGCATCGTCTCAATGTCCATAAAAACTTATAAAATCTCATTAGGAGTTCTTGGGTTGGTGTACAATATTGTCCTCTGATCTCCAAGTGCGTGCGTGGCGTGCGTGCGTGGCGTGCATGTGTGGTGTGCATGTGTGCGTCCATCCCCCCAAATAAAACATTCCCGACGAAGCAAACTGCTCCCTCCGTCCCTAAAGCTCACACGCCTTCAGCAGCGCTTCATATGGAGGCTCTTCACGCTCAGTCAAGTGAGGGGCAGAAACCCAAGTCTTGGGCTCTAGCCTTGGTTGTGTACCCATGGCCGGGAGGCTCATTTCTGTATCTGTCCTGCCTGACCCTCAGAAATTGACCTTGCCAATAAGACATACTATAAGATGTGAAACAGGTCCTTGTCAAAAGGAGGCTCACCTCAGCTTTCTGTCCACCACGAAAACTGATCCCGTCAGAAATGCAAGACTGGAATTCAGCAATGGTGTAGTATTCCACCTCAACAGAAGGGGGCTCTGGTGGCTTTGGCAGCTGGAACCCCTAAAGGAGAAACAATCACTGAGCAAGTGCAGTTAATAGAGCAGTGAGTACCAAGGCCAGGGACTGGTGCCCATTGGCTCCAGGTGCTTGTGGCCATCACTGTCAGCTGGATAGCGCTGGCTTTGAAGGCAGCTGTCACTTGGGCTTCAGCTCCCCCCCTCCCCAGGGGGTGTCTGATCTCTTAGGATGCTCACTAGAAAGGCCTCAATAGTTGGGCCCTAAGGTGGAAAGGAAGAGACAGAAGAATCACTCTAGAAAAGCAGGGGAACCTCCATTTTATACATCTAAGGGTGGCTCCTAAGCCAAGGTGGGCGCCAATGGAGAAGAGGGTGAGGGAGCCAACAATCCCCAGGATAGTGAAGTAGGAGTACAGGGGGCAGCTGGTTGGGGAAGGAGTCTTTGGGAGGGGGGTTAGCCTGTTGATGCCCTGAGCAGAATGCAGAGTTCTGTTTCAGTAAGCAGGCAGATTATTCCAGAACTTCTATATGCCTTTTTGATGCCGGCACACAACTTTTCTCATGGTGGCATTTAAGGACACTTAGAACACTTAGCCCACATTTTTTTCCCTCTGCACCTAATGGGTGCTGCTCTCAGGCAGCCAGCGTAAGCCGCGTGGAAAACCAGCTTGGCAGATGCTAACCACAAAGGGATGTACGCTCTGCCTTATACTAAAGGGTAAACAGAAAGAAGCTGAAAAGACTGGGAGGAGGGCAGCCATGGTGCAGAAGGCAGACCTAGAAGATGCAACTACTCCGAGCCTCAGTTTCCTCTTCTGTAGAACAGAACTAAGAATGGGATTCTGAAGATTGCCCATATAATACAATAACTTCCGGTCCAGGAAGGTGGGGTGCAGGAATAGCTAAACAAAGCTGGAGGTCAGCACCCCTGGAACCCTGTTTCAAGGCTCAGCTACCTCTGTCACTATAAGGGAGGGATGGGAGAAAGATGGTTTATGGGGGGGAGAGAATCAGCCAACTTTCTCTGCCCCCGTGACTGGATGTATAGCCACACGTGGAAGCTGGCTCGGTCAGCCATGCCTCAGCCCTCCCGTACCCGGACAGGGTGGGATTCAGCTCAGCTAACTGGCACCAGCATCCCTCCCTCAGCAAGCTTGCATTTGTATGTGTTGAAGGAATGGGTCTGCCCTTGCCAAAGTCATGGCTGCCTGAAAATAGTTAGCTGGGGCTCAAATAAAAAGGAGAAACGGAGAATCCATTGCGCAGTTGCAAAAACCCCAGGATTAAAAAAAGAGAAATTTCAGAGGGGCTCATGGCTAGGTCACAAAATACTCATGGCCAGAGGGCACATCCTCCCATGTAGGAAGGGCCTCAATGCCCACGGATGGGCAGATGCCACTGCAGTAACATGCAGCCAGTTGTGATGTAGGGATCTGTCCCGTGTAGAGTAACCAGATAGTGCCACCCAACAGCCACATAGGAAAGGGAAACCCGACTGCAAGTCCTAAAATCCACCATTGCATCCCATCCTCGTGACGAACCTAGGAGGTGGCCAGTACTGTTCTCTCTTGGAAAAGCAAACTGAGGACTTCGGAGGGTAGGTGATCTGCAAAGGGTCTTTCTTTGTTCCTGTGTCAGAAATGGAATCTATGCCAGGCTCCAATTTCCCCTTCCAGGTACGCCAGGGATGGTCCCCCGAAGTCTCGTGCATGCTAAGCAAGCACTCTGCTACGGAGCTGGAGCTACACCATAGACCAGCAGCTCACCTTCCATTGCATCCAGCCGACCCCATCCCACTCCCTCACCCCTAACAGGCCTTTGTTTAGGATTCTCAACCTGTCATCAACATTACTGCTTCCCAAGCTCCCGCTTACACATCTTTCTGCCTGAGACAGTAGTCGCTGGGAAACTCCACCCACTCAAGAACCAAGGACCTCACAGTGTCCACCTTCCATGAGCCAGGTCTGGCGGTTCATGCTCCTTCCTGGAGGATAGCACTGGCCTACCCCTTGCCCTCTAGGCTGTCGAGCCCACCACCATCACTGGGCAGTCCTGGGAGAGCTGTACGGCTTCTGGGCCATCGTGGCCAGCAACCCCGTTTCTAGCCCCTGGCAATGCCCTACTGGACACTCCTGCTGGCCAGTCTAAATGTTTATGTCTGCCAGTGCAGTGGCTGGGATGGATTTATTTAGCTTTGGAGTGAGTGCATTTCCGATTACAAACTGTCTGGCTATGCTCCAGGGAGGCTTGGGATCTGCAGGTTTCTGCCCTGTCCCCAGCCCTGCAAAGACAGAAAGAAACCCAACAGGGTCCCCAGGCTCTGCTTCAGAAAGGTGGGTGTGGGTCACCCCAGAGAAGGCACGAAGAGACAGTCCACATACTAAGTAAGAGGGTGTGGGTCACCCCAGAGAGGACATGAAGAGACAGTCCACATACCAGGCTGGACTCTCTGCGTGGGGGCGGTCTTGTCCTCAGGTTTGGGGAGCCTGGAAGAAAAACCACAGCTTTAAGAACCCCAGTGGACAACAGTGCCTACACCTGCTGCCTTCCCTGATGGGATCCACTCTGGATACTTGAAACGTCAGTTATTAAAGACCCTGTATTCTAAGTCACTGTAGCAATGATGGGACCTTTAGGCTTCTTTGCCTGTTCTTCAGAAGGACCCCCACACCCCCGTCCCCAAACAACAGGTACACCAATCTACAGATGCCGCAGGCAGGCAGTTTTCAAGGTAAAAGGCTGCATGGATTTATGAGATTTTTTTCATCAGAAGCAGGAACTACATCTCTGTTTTGTTCACTACTCCTAAGTCCTCTGAAGTAAGTCCTCTAAGTACTCCAAAGTCCTGCCTAGTAAAGGCTTCGCCATGCGCCAGAGTGCTGACAATCAAGAGCTATGTATTAAACAAACAAACAAACAAAACAACAGAACCCAAACCAGTGTCCTCCAGATTACTGGGCTGGACACAAACAGAAATTGTGTCACCCCTGCCCCCCATAATATCAAAGGCATTTCTGGGCCAGAGGTGTGTGTAGGGGGTGAGAACAGACGGACTTTAGTAATTTATTGTGAATGCAGGTGGGGGATGGGCATGTGTGCCACAGCCTTAGGCAGTCAGTTCTCTCCTTCCCCCAATGGCTGTCCCAGGGATTGAACTCGGATTAGACTTGAGTAGCAAGCACCCTTACACATTGAGCCATCTTGCCAGCCCTCTTCCACATCTTTTGCCCCACAAAGCAGGCCCGCACAGAGGATCACAAACTCGGGGCCTGTGGGCTTTGTTAAATCGGCGCTATACCGATCATCTAGCCTTGGGGTCTGATCGACTACTAAAGAGCCACCCCTGATTCATCCCTTGTGAGGGGGAGGTAGCAGCCTGCTTTCTCCTGCCATGCACCTGCAGCAGCTTGCAGGAACACAGCCAGTCACACCCTCTGGCTCTTTCCACTCCCGTGACCAGCACGGGGCCCGCTGACAATCAGAGGCCAGACTGTAGCTCCGGGTGAAAATGACACGGAGGTCCCAGGTAGGGCCTGGATTCCGCTGCACCCATGCCCCCCCCCACTCTGTAGGAGCTCTTTGGGAGGACCTGGGGCCTTCAGCTGCTTACTGATCTGAGCCCTCTGAGGGGCGATCCTGGCCACGGCTGGGGAGCCCTGGGCCAGCTTCGATGTGGTCCTCTCGGGGACACCCAAGGCGCTGCCGTTAGAGGCGTTGCAAAGGATGGGCAGGCTGATTTCCTTCTTGGTGATGGGGGCTTCCGGTCCCTCGCCGTCAGCTGGAACTTCCTTGTCCCCAGACGCCTTCTTGTTGAGCAGGTTGCTGATCTCCATGATGTTTCCGATGATCTCCACAGGACCCGCCAGGTTCTTCTTCCGGCTTGGCAGCTCATCCTTGGCCTTCTTCAGATAGGATGCTGGCGCCCAGCCCTCTTTGCCTAGATATCTGTGAGAGAAAGGACCACGCCGTCATTAAAGCCCTCATATCTGTCTTCCCCTTCTGCTCCCAGGCCTCAGTCTTGGTTTGACCTCCTAGCAGGGCCTTTTCTCTCATGATCTGCTAGAGGCTTGGCAGTTCCGCTAATCCAGAGGGAACCAGAGCTGGGGTCCACGGGAAAGATACTGGACATTGAGCTATTGCCCTCAGGCAAATATAGGACCTTTCTATACGACCCAAGACGCTGGGGGTAATTCCAGAGAGAAGAGTGACATGTGGATGTGGCACGGACAATCCTGTTCCCCATAGGAAGGGAGCGGACTAGAGCGGAAAGCGGCACAGGCAAAGGACGCTTCTTGCCCAGTTAACTTGTTTCTCTAAGAGTTCAACTTTATCTGTAAGACAAAGGGATGCAGCAGCTTGTCAAGTAGATCTAGAAGGATGGATACCTTGAGACCAAAGGAGGATATCTATAAGGACTACTGTTGAGGGTGGTGACGCATGCCCAGCAGTCAGAAGGATGAGGCAGGAGGATCGGAGGTTCTAGGACGAACCAGGGAAGGCAACCATTTTGGGATTGGATTTAAGGCCTGCGCCACACCTCAACCTTGGCCGGTGAAGCGTTTCTCTCTGCGTTGGTCAGCAGTTAGTGCAGACTCACAACCGGTTTCAACCATTTTAATGCTAAGAATAATTGACTACTGAATATTCTGCCCTCAATGGGATATCCATATCATCCCCTCCCACCCTCTTTCTCAGGGGACATCATGGAAGAGGGGGTGGAAAGAATACTGAGCCGGAGGGTGAGGAGGAACGCTGGGAAATGCTGTTTTCTGGACTCGACAAGGCTACCGCACCTAGGAACTCAGAGTAGCTACAGTTACCTGTCCGAGACAGATCAACAGGACAGCACTGATGGGACCCAGTGGGTTACATGTGCACACACACACACACACACACACACACAGAAGAGAGAGGACATGAAGGGAGGAATGGGGAGTGCTGGGTGTGCCTGCGGGGAGCAGAAAAGGGGAGCTGGTCATACATCAACATACATGTTTCCATGTACAAAAGTTCAAAGATTAAAAAGAGAAAGAGAATTCCATTTTTCTTTTTAAGCTCTAGGTCAGGCTGGGCTAGGGAGTAAGACTCACCAAAGGAAAGAGGTAGACTTTAAGTTAGCACTCTGTGGACAAGCTTGGAGGCACACATCTAGAAGCCCAGCACTCTGGAGGCAGAGGCAGAGGGGGCTGGGCAGAAGTTCAAGGCCATCCTCAGTCAAGCAGGCCAGCTTGGGTACAAGAGACCACGTGGCAAAACAAAACAACATAAAACAGGAGTGGGGTGGGGATGTAGTGAGCACCACCGGGTGGGGGAGGGTTTGAGTCCTGCTGGAGGGACAGTGGACAAATCAAGTTCTTCATAGAGTAAGTCCACAAATGTAACCTTTCAACCCTGTGGGGCAAACACAAACCACACAATGGGTGAGTTAAGGGCAATTAGGAGAAACAAAGGAGTGAGATCTAGTTTATCACACAGTAAGGAGAGGGAGGAAAGGAAGAGCCAAGCACAGCGGCTCAAATCTATAGTCTTACCACTTAGGAGGCTGAGGCAGGAGGACCGCCTTAAATCTGACCAGTTTAGGCTAGACAGGGAGTACCAGGCCAACCAGGACTATATACAAGACTTTGTGTGTGTGTGTGTGTGTGTGTGTGTGTGTTTAAAAAAACAAATTTATGTAATCTTGGGGGTTGGAAAACCTTTCTAACTAAAGCTGCAAATATAGAAAATAGATGCAGATGAAAGCATAAAGCTGAATAAAATTCAAACCAATGTTATGGTGAAACCAAGCCTAATCCAAGCAAACCAAAAGCTCATAAACAAAGGCTAAAGGCAAATGACAGGGCTGACTTAATTTTTGGTGATTCGTTGACTTTTTTAAAACAACTTCTCCCTCTTCCCCACATGGTGTTGAGCCTTTACCCAAATCCACAGGGAGCCTGCTTCCGGGCCCAGCACAAAACTGGTCAGTGCTTCCAACTCTCAGTTGCAATGTTCCCATCTGCTCCCTGGGACACAGCTGGCTCTCAAGAGTAGCACTGTCAGGCCAGATGTCCGACAACCCCTACTGCCCTTCCTGATGTGACCTTAGGTAGGAGAAAAGGAACACAGAACTTCAGACAGGAGGTGGCTCCTCACATTTATATCACTGGGGGTACACAGAGGTTGCACCCAACTTGTGTGTTGAACATACAGAAGCAGAGAATGTCCAGAATGGAGGGGAACAGTGAGTGAATGTGCCTGACCTTTCTATGCCTGTAGCCAAGGCCAAGAAGGGCAAGGCAGAGGTAGCAGGGGGGCCTGAGGGGAAGTGTGTAACACTTTCCAGAGCCTGGGGTTCTTAAAGCTCGGAAAAAAGCTGAAGTATCTTGTTAGGTGGCAGCAGCAGAGGAATAAGGACGGGCTGCGGGGAGACAGTCATGCCTGCAGGCTCCCATTTCACAGCCCTTTGTGTTCTATACGCTCCAGGCTTAGTGTTACAGGATACAGCAGGCAGAGCCACGCGCGCGTGCGCAGCATCAGGGGTGGCTGCGTGTCTGGGCCCAACTTCCGCACAGCTGTTTCCCAGCTCTGTAGCAGGACTGACTCCAGAGATGCAGGCTGCAGAGGGAATGGGAATGTGTAGGAGTGTGTGTGTGTGTGTGTGTGTAAGGCTGGGAGAGGAAAAGAAAGACAGGAAATAACGATCAACACTCGGCTAGGAATGTTGGGAAATAGCATGTTTAAGGGGGTATCTGGCAACTTTCTTAAGGTAGAATGGGATCGTTAGGGCCCTTCTCAATTCCAGTCCTCGCTGGCTAGGAAGAATCAAGCTGCAGGACAGTAGCTGACCAGAGTGATGCTGTTTGTTATCTTAAAAACACAAACAACAAACAACAGAAAACCCAAAATGTAAAAAGCAGCTGTGGGGATCACTTATAGGCAAACACACGTCAGCCAGCAGCCAGATGGGCTACGTTAGTTAGCCTTTCCACATCCGGCTTGTGGCTGATGGATCTGCACTTGGCTCCAGCTTCCATTGCTTAGAGAACATGAAAGACCACGGGTGGCTGCTCTCGATAAGCCACGTGTAAGTGCACAGGCCCACGTCACCTAACAGGATGGAAAGGTACATCTCAGTCCTTCAGACTGACAGGCACTAGTGCAAGGGTGAGGGGGCAGCACTGTCCCCTCAGCTCACACTAAGACTCAGTTACCTGCGTCCTCTCTGCAGCATGGATGTAGCTTTAAGATCCTAAGCTCTGCTGTGTTCTGAACCACTGTTGCATGAGTACACGCACAGACAGACCACAGAAAGTCTGGGGGTGTGGGGAACTGAGGCAGCTGTCCCCATAGCTTACATGGGGGATTGTTGTTAGCTGGGTTGCAAGCAGGAGAGAGAGAGAGAGAGAGAGCAGCTGAGCAAATTCCCTACAGCTGAACTGCTCCAAAGAAACTTTGCAAACACAAACATGCTTAAAAGCAGGTCTAGGGTTGGTGACAGCAGAATGAGCCCCAGGGAGTTTAGCTTATTCTCCAGACGTACACCCAAATGAACTTCATTAGGCTCTGAGGCAAGGAAGGGAGAGAAGGCAGAGTGTGATGGTCTGCACCCACCAGGAACATGGATGCCAGAGGCCTATGTCTGGGGCCTTCAGTGTTCAACTGTGAGCAACAGAGGCAGCCTGTTGGGGCTCAGCAGGGCCTGTGGAGGCTGGGGCTTCAGGGTGTCTCAGCTGAGGAGCCGGTCAGGCAGCCAAGGGAGATGCAGAAAACAACATTCAGATGGCCGAACTCTTGGCAGGTGCATGGTGAGAGACCACACCGCTGCCTGTGGGTTGAGCTGGCCCCTGTGCCCTCCTGGCTGGGGCTCAGATTGTGCTTTCAGTTCCCAGGAGACAATCAGTGGGCCGAGCAGAGCCGGCACACAGCTGTCTTTAGGATCCACCTGTCATCGGCCACTGAGCTCTGTTGCCCGGGAGGCAGGCTCCTACCTGATGTACCACCAGCCTTCCAAGTTCTTCCGAATCACCTCCACGGTGACGCCCTTCTCGAAGCCAATCTCGTCCTTGCTTTGGCTAGTGTAGGGCTGCACGGTGACATACTTCTCTTCTGTGAGTGGGTTGGGGAGCAAGAAAGCACAGTTATTTGAGGCTGTGGTGCAGATTCTGCCTCCCATTCCCTCCGCCCCGGGCCTAGTCTCATTAAGCTGCTTACTAACATGGGCCAGCACTGGCTTTTCCAGAGAAGAAGAAGGAGCGGGACTCAGAGAGCAGAGGAAGAGTCACTGGGTTAGGGGGTCACTGCTGGTCCTAGGAGAAGCTAAAGCCAGGCAGGATTCCGGGGTGCCTAGCAAAGCCTTAGGCAGCAGGAAGGCAGGTCTCCTAGCCAGGGTGTAGGGGCCCAGAGTTTGGAAGAATCTGCTTTTCCTAGGGTCTAAGACAATAGCTCAATGCCACTGCTAGGTGTCTCCCGAATACCTTGGGAACCTATCACCTCTCACCTCAAAACATGCCATGTCCCACCTGTACTCACTCAAGATACCAGCCCTGTAAACCTCTTAATTTCCCCTGCAGAGCATCTCAGCCCTACCCTAGACACAGCAGACCACAGCATCTGCCCTAGAATGGTTCACCGAGAAAGCTCAAAAGGAGAGGCTACGGGTTTTGTTAAAGTCCTGACTGTGCCCCGGCCCCCACCGGTCCCTCCAAGTTTTCCCACAGCACTGGAATCCTGCAGAGAGCTTGGTGGGAAGACCTCCCTGGACATCCCTAAGGACCTCTGCTCGGACGTCCATGTCTGCTGAGGTCCATGCCTATCTTCAGGGAGCCCTCCTGGTGAACCTGCAGCTGACTGGCTGAGGCCACCTGCCTTTTACAGGACCAACTACAGGATGGCTTGGGGTCCAGGGAGGAACATGCTGCACCCTCCCTCACTGAAAGAAGATCCTCAGGAGGATCGCCCTGAATCCTGCTGTGTGCTATGGAGGTTGCCATGGTACCCAGCACACAACACTATAGGCTATTACAAGTAGAGGCTGGGACTCTATCAGTGAGGAGGAAAGAGGATGAGTAGGGACTGAGTGGGAGGCTTGCTTGGGAGCTCAAAATAGCAGGAGCCTGGCCTGGGAGCCGCCTGCTGCTCCTGGCTCTGGGCTGTAATACCCACTCCCTGGACTCCTTCGCTGGACCTTGTTGGGCAGCCTGCCTCAGCCTCTGGGTGGCTCTGGGGATTAGGAGAGAGCTGCCACACCAACGTCCTGCTGTGGGAGAGCCATCTGCTCATTCTCCCCTGGATTATCAGGGTGCTGTCTGTAGCCCTGTGCGGGGGGTGGGATGGGGGCAGACAGTGCTTCCCTCTGGGAGAGGCAACTGTCTTGCCAGGTTGCAGGGATGGAGCTGACAGATCACAGGCCATACTTGACAGGCTGCCCAAAAGCAAAAGGTGGGTGATGGGCACAGGCGGCTGCACGGCTCTTCCTGGGGCTCCCTTTTACCACAGGCCTTTCTCGGCACCAGCTGAGGAGGGCTCTGCTCAGGGCCTGCAGATTCCTCCCTGCCCTGCCCAGGAGTGCTGCCAACACTGCCTGAGAACCTGCCCAGCCAGATTCTGACTAGGGCCCTGGAGGAGTTCCACAGGCTCGAGGCCAACCCTGCTCCATTTTCCAGTGGGGCACGGTAAACCTTGGCCTAGGCAGTGGCTAAGGGACAGCGCCAGGTCTGGAAATGCAGGGCCTGAGGTCCAGGGAGGTGTGGCCTGGACTCCACATTTTGCCTTTGTTCGGCCGGGCTATTTTTAAAAGCCTGTGGTTCAAGCAGGAAGCTATCGGGAAAGTTTTCCTAGGCAAAGTTGCTTTTGAAGAGAAAAATGACAGTCCTTCTTAGGGGAAGATCAGAGGAGCCTGCCCTGCCCCATGGCTGAGAACGGGGCCTTGACCATGTGTCCAGGCTCTTGGATGCCAAGGCTGGCCACAGCAGCCTTTTAAGTATGTGTGGTGGGCGGAGTCCATGGCCAGCCACTTGGGGCAGGGGGCACAGCCACGGATAATTGTTTCTGGCCAGTGAAGCTAGCTGCATCTGCAAAAGACCCCGTGCTTGGGGACATCTGGGGGATGTCATGCTCTCTGTTAAAATTCTAAACAGCACAGAGGCTTGTTCTGTCTGTTCGGTGCAGGACTCCAGCGGGGAGTTCAAACCCTGGTTCCTGACCATCTCTCCCTGCCTGCCTCTTTAGACAGGTGGTTTTCAGCTCTGTTCAGCCAGGGACAGAGATGTAAGCCACCTTTGGCTGACGTAGGTGACTGGGGTCTTGGGCCATCTATCTTACAGGTGAGCTGTGGATAAGCAGAGACCAGTCCCTACTTTTGGACCTGGCCATAGACCCCCATGGTCAATGTCTAGACAAGAGAATGCTCAGACAGATGGAAAATGGTCTCTATAGGTAGTGAGTCTGCAGGTGGTCTCTGGAAGAGGGTGTCCCCTTTAAGAGATAGGATCGAGGGAAGACTGAGGTGGCTGGGGGCTGGTCAGGGCTCCTGGGTTCTATGATCAGAGCGTGCAGAGATGACGGCACTCTTGCCCTGGTGAATGACGGCCCGCCAGGAGGCCGGTGGGTGGGTAGGCTGGGGGAGGTGGACAGCCTGCCCCAGTTTGAGAGGCAGGGGCTGGAATCCCTGTAGTTTCCAAACCGCAGAAGCCTCTTCTTTCCAAGCACTTTCCCCTCTGTCAGCAGTCTCTCTGCTCCCCTCCTGGCCCCTTCAACTCCTCCACTAGAGAGGCCTCTGATTCCAAAGGCCTGGCCAGCTGAGGGACGGGGGATAGAGGCTCCGGGAAACACTGACTTTTCTGATCTAGTTACTCGATGACCCTCTGCTGGCTTTCTCCTCCAGCTCCACTACTTGCAGTGTGGGACCCACCAGCCAGCTCTCTGCAAGCCCTCCTTGGCCGCCTGATTGACAGGACTAGGGCTGTGTGATAATGAACATGAAGTTATGGCTTGTCTTTGCTTGCGTATAGGTGACTGCAAAAGTATGGCTCCTTATGTATATGCGTTAGTTGTGGGTACTGCTGCAGTGACATGCTGAGGTGACAGGGAGCCATTAGGTGTATGCAAAACCTACTTGTGACTACGTAAACCAGTGACATGTAGCCAGGCCTAGGTGTGGTGGCACTCCTGGAATTACTGTCTATGAGAGGCTGTGTATACAAGACTGTGGATGCACAGCTGGGGTGGGCTAGGATATGACGGTACTAGCCACACCTGTGGCTTCGGGCCCTTGTGTGGGCCTGTCTCTGGTCTCGGTGCATCTGTGTGATCATGCAGGCAAAGGCATGTTTGGACTCAGCAAGCGATGGTACACAAACAGGCCAAACTTTTGTCTCTCTTGTGGGATTCTGGGCCCACATCCTATTTGTCTTTGCCGCTAGAGCTGGAGGCCGTGTTCCACCCTAGCATCTTAGCAGAGCTGTCCCCTCCCTCCTGGCTTTAGGGTGGCTTCTGCTTTAAATGCGGCCTGTTGCTGCTTCTCCAACACAGGCCGCCTGCATCAGCCCCCAGGGTCCATGTTAAGTCCTGCCTTAGGATAAGCTGAGTTCTACATAGCCAATGCTCTGAGTCAGCCATTGGCGGTGGCCACCCTGAAGTCCATACATTCTGTAGCCTGAGTTTTGGGAAAGACACTACAATGCACTGTCAATTGGGGACAGGCTTTGAGGTTGAGTCATGGGGTACCCCGTTTTCCAAAGGCCTGTGTTCGTTATATATCCATCTCAGCTCCCAGCTGCTCTGCTCTCCTCTCTGGGGGACAGGAGAGGCTGACCACCCACCAGCATGAAGGGCTGCAGATGTTTAGGGGTGCATCCAGAGGCCATCCCTCCTGTTCCTCACCCTTCCCAAAAATCCCTGGATGTTGGGAAGGGTCTGGGCCACACAGCCCTGAATCAGCAGATGTCAGCTAGGGAGTCAGTTTAGGGCCTTCCTGTCGCCTTGACTGAGCTCCCTCCTCTTGAGATCCTGGAGGCCAGTGCTCCTGCTGACGGATGGCCCCTCGTCAGTATTGGTTGGGGAATGCTCTGGTATCATAATGGTTTTGGTTTCTGTGCCCTTCTAGGTTCAAATGGAGAAGGGCTGTGGGCTGAGGGAGTCTTTCTTAGCAGAAGGCAGGAATAAAGGACAGGAGAGGAAGTCCTGATAAGAACAGAAAGCTATAATCTCTTTAATACGTGGTACCCAGGACAGGGATGGCCTTTCTCTGAGACCCAGGGACCTCCCTCGTGCCTCTCTTCCCTTCCAAGGAACATATAAACTAACCACCAGGCCCCAAACCCCAATGCCTAGGGCACTAGCAAGCCAGAGCTGCCCCTTCTGCCACTCGGATCAGTTCCCAAGTAAGGCCCTGTCCCCAGTCTGAGCTGCAAGTGAATGAGGAAAAAAGCCTGGCCAGTTCCGGGTGAGTCAGGAGACCACAGGCAGAGAGCAGGGCAGGCAAAGGAGGGGGTGTTAGTGAGAGGAGCAGCTGCAGGGAGGAGAGGCAGGCGCCTGTGGTCACCTCGGCTGTGCTGCCTGTTGACCATCCCGCCCAGGGTCCACCGGCGATCCAGGCGCCGCAGGTGGGCTTTACGTCTCTTGGACACTGGTGTGAGAGATGGTGATGGTGCCCACGGCCCACACGAACCAAACCGGTGGAGAGAATGGAGATGCGGATGAGAGAGGATGGCGGAGGGGAGGAGAGAGGGAGATGTGTCCTCACTGCGGGGTGAGGAAGGATCTGACGGGTGGTCCTGTCAGCATACCCAGACACTTTCCAACAAGTCCCTCAGCCAAATCTAGGGGTAGACTAGAGGATTTAGGGTTCTGCTCCCTTAGAGACGGGAAGACCCTCCACAACAGCCCCCGGAGATGGAGGGATCATTGCTCCCCGAGTTCTGGACCCTGTTGCTATCCAGTCACCAAGCATGACTGTCAACTTGTCACCATGGCCAGGCATGGTGAGGGAAGAAGGGTGTCAGGGGAAATGGGGGTGAGGGGAGCTCTTCTCTGCTGGGTCAGAGCTCTCTCTGTTGATATAAGTTGACTTATATCTTTGCTTTCTTGTTTGTTTCCCTTAGGTGGGGTCTGTTGAGGGTGATGACTTGGCCTTGTACCTTTGTGTCCCTGGGGCCTTACACAAGACCAGGTCCTGGCCTGGGAAAGGTTTGCTGATGAACCCGCACATGGGCAGATACTACAAGCTCTGTTCCCTTATGCTATCCTTTTCTGTTTCTGGTGACAATGACCACAACTCCCATGTCGACTGCTTGCGACCAGACCCTTTCGCCTGGTTTACACCCCTCCCCCTACCATTCCCTCACAGATGAGCTCTCCCGCACCCTCTGCCCTGGGTCTGGCTCCCCAGGCTTTGCTGCCCAAGTGACTCCTAAGGGAACGAACCCTGGGCCAGGGTCCCAGGGCGCCAGCTTGCCGGCACCAAAGGAAGCTGCCAGATTGCCTAGTTCTGGGGAGGGTGACAAGCTGGTAGAAAGAATAAAAGTGACATTGTCCACACCTGGGCCAAAATTCAGTAAAACCTCCTGAGAATATCTGCTTGCCCTGTGAGGGAGAGTGGCCCGTGCAACCTCCTCCCTCTTCCTTTTCTTTTTTTTAAGAGTTTTATTTTATATGTGTACGCATGCATGTCCATCAATGACAGAAGAGGGCACTGGATTCTCTGAAACTGGAGTTTGAGATGGCTGTGAGCTACCCTATGGGTCCTGGGAATTGAACCCAGGTCCTCTAGAAGAGCAGTCAGTGATCTTAACCATTGAGGCATCTCTCCAACTCTGCAGCCTACTTCTGAGGCAACAGGCTAGGAGTGTGGGCTCCAGCCCAGACACACTCCAGGTTCTTCCACGGCCCTGTAAGGCTCTGTAGATCTGGGCAGGAGACTATTAAGATGTGGTGACAGGTGCTGGCACACAGGTCCTCCCAGAAGCGTGCAGAGCGGCAGCGTTCTTGGTGCACACATGCAAATACACACACCTGTGAGCCTGGAAGCTACCTTGGCTGCCCTCTAACTCCTAATCCATCCGAGTCAACGTCTTGCACACTCTGTCAACTCTACAGCACTCAGAGTCATCTGAGCCAATCTCAATTAGGGGATCTACTTCTACCAGACTGGACTGCAGTCATTGTGGGCATTTTCCTGACTGTTGACTGATGGAGGAGGGCTCAGCCCACCGTGGGCAGAATCATCCCTAGGCTCGGTGAGCTAGCGTTCTTAAAAAAGCTTAAGAAGCCCGGCAGTGGGGGCGCACGCCTTTAATCCCAGCACTCTGGAGGCCTCGAAGAGCAGGGCACTAGATAGGGGCAAGGTCTGGGGCTTACAGCTGGACTGGATGGAACCCAGCTCAGAGGTCCAAAAGAACCAGAGTCAGATACAGGCTCAAAGACTCAGGGTGGGAACAGCTGAGTCTGAACGTCCCAGCTTTCCCCAAGGGGCCTGGGCTCTGGAGTCCTGTTACAGGGATGTGTTCCGAGTCCTTCCTCTAATCACAGGGCTGAAATGAGGCACCAACTCAAGAAGGGTGGGGCCCCAACCACCAACAGAGTAACTAACATCTTGGGGAAGGATGAATAAGGAGTCGGCCCTTTATGAGCTGCTTGTTTTGGCTTGGGATGCAGGGAGGAGGGGGACGGAGGGACCGGCCCGAGCTGTGGGTGGCAGGTCTACATCTCTCTGGCCTTCAGACCACAGCCAGCTGGACCATTCCCACTGACTGACCGTTAGGGAAAGGATTCCTGCTGCCAGGCCACGGGAGATTTGGAAGGCATTAGGAGCAGGGAGTTGGGACATGGGAGGCTCGGACTCGTTGGGCTGTTACTGGCTTAGAGGGCAGAGGCAGTCTCTGTGAAATGCATGGAGAAATACCCCAGTCTCTGGGAAGCTGAGAGGTGGCTCGCAGGCCAGCCTGGGTAGCTCTCAGTGTCCAGAGCGGGAAAGACAAGGCACAGCAGGAATCGTGTCCACATGACGTTCCAGGTCTTTACCTCGGGGGCCTAGTGTGGAGCTGGGAGTAGAGACAGGTCTCTGTGGAGTTCTCGAGAGAAACTCGAAGCTTCGTGGGAAGAACTTTCTGGTAGTTCCCACCCCTAAGCCTGCCCTCTACCCAAAGCTGACAAAGTCTGAAGTCCACAACCCAGGAGAAATTTCCCTGTCAGAGCCCTACATGGGGGAATGACAAAGACCGGCCAGCGTGTGAGGTGACCAAGTGGGTTGGTGTCAACAAATGAATCCCAACAGAAGGGCCTTGGGTAAAATCCAACCTATTTAGGAGTTCAGGTGGCCTAGGGAGGAGAGCTGGGAGCTCTCCCTGGAGGAGCTGGCCCCTGGGAAACCTTCCCACCCAGCTATTACCCACCTAAGAAGCCATAGACCCTCACCTTCTCCAGTCTTGGAGGTGTTAATGTCTGAGTCATCCCGTGTGCCATTCTGAGCCTCCAAGTAGGTGGCAGGGACCCAACCCTGCTCTTCAGACGTGCTCACAAACCACCAGCCTGCAGAGGGGACAAGAGAAGACAGGTTGTGAACGCCTGCAAGATGGGGGTGACAGGGTGGGGTTAGGATGTGGAGGGCAGGTATGGCCAGAGGGCAAGGCATGCCAGCAAGGCACTGAGCCAGACAACCTGGGCATCTGGGAAATGCCTTGACCGACTCCAGCAGAAAGGACAAATCCTGCCGCTGAGCAGAGGGCCTGAGACACACACCCAGTGTCACGCGCATTTGAGGGAAGCATTAAAAAGTGAAGCGGAAACAACGGCTTGCCTCCCACATGGGAGGCACTGTGGAGGAAACATGAGGTGGGTTCTGTCTGGGCACTGGCCCCCTGGGATCTTTCTGATCTTTCTTCCCATTAGCCCCACGGGTACACGGGAGCCAGGTGGCTTCTGGTTCTGAAAGGCCTGACTTTCACAGAGACTGACAGTCGGCTGTCCGTCCGTCCCACAACCCCCCAGCATGGCTCAGTGGCAGTGCTTCCACTTTGGCTGCCCACAGCTGCCCTGGAAGCGTGTTGACAACGCAATCACAGTAAGTGGGCACTGCATCCTCACGTGACCTCTAACAAGCAGGGCCACGTGACAAAGGCTCATTCATCTCTCCTGTTCATTCATGGTGCTTGTACACTCACTTGCTCATTCATTCAAAAACACCAGCTATGGAATAAAGTATCTGAACCCCCTGGTCGAGGGTCTCCTGGCTGTCTTCAGACCCTCTCCGGGGTCCTTGCCCCCATTGCCCTTCCCTTCTCTCCTTTGTCCTCCACGTAATCTGGTGCCAAGGCTCCTTTCTGTTCAAGGCAGACTCTCTGGGTCCGGTACAGAGCCTAGGGGGTTTGGGAAGCAGCAAGAGGCAGCCCGAGAAGACACAGCGGGCGTCCTCCTAGGGTTTGGGCAGCAGCAAGGGGCAGCCTGAGAAGACACAGCGGGCGTCCTCCTAGCACCCCTAAGATGGCTTTGGCCTGGGAAGGTGGAGGAGCCTGACTGGTGATAAGTAGAAGAGGAAAACGGAACCAAGAGCAGGGCAGGCCTGAGAACACAGCTCATTTCTCAGGTCCTAAGTCAGATCTTACTGTTCCTTATCACAGGTGTCTAGGCGAGGCTTTGCCAAGGTCCTTTCAGGACCAACTTTTTCTTTTTTCTTTTCTTTTTTTTAAAATTTATTTATTTATTATGTATATAGTATCCTCCTGCATGTATGCCTGCCTGCCAGGAGAGGGCACCAGACCTCATTACAGATGGTTGTGAGCCACCATGTGGTTGCTGGGAATTGAACTCAGGACCTCTGAAAGAGCAACCAGTGCTCTTAACCTCTGAGCCATCTCTCCAGCCCCCAGGACCAACTTTTTCTATGCCGAAGTGTCCCTATTGCCCATGGCATCCTCTAAAGCAACTTCTCAAGGCCCCAGGGAAGCAGGTGACTTGGTGGTCTCACGGAGGCTGGGTGACTATCTCCCCACTTCTAGGTCATCCTTGGCAGGCCCTAAGGATGCATGCTCCTTCTCTAGGCCGAGGGCTTGTGGGGGATGCTAAGGGTGATGTTTCTTCTCAATGCGAGGCCTAGAACCCCGACTTTCCTAGGGGGATTTTCTTATCAGTTCCATTCGATCAGTCCGTATCTGAGCTCCCAGGAGGCAACTCCCTAAGTCTACCAGATTCTCGTCCCTACCTTCTCCTTCCTGTGTGAACCTTCCTCCTCGTCTCAGGGGGCTGTGACCCCAGGAGTCAGGCTCTTCTTCCTGGAGGCTGTCTGTCCTCTCTCTTAACTTCCCTTATGGCACGTTTCCTTGTTGCTGGCCCCTTCCTGAGGAGGCTCCTAGGGATGGGGCAGGCCTGGCTCTCTGGCCTACCTCTGCTGCACAGGCTCTGTACTAGGTAGGAGGCTGGACAAAGACGCGCTGAGAGGCAGAGCATCACGAGGTTCCTGTGTTCCTCACTGTCTCTAGGGGTCCTCACTGTCTCTAGGGGTCCTCACTGTCTCTAGGGGTCCTCTCTAAAGTGCAACACGAGAGAAACTTCTGAGGCGTCTGACCACACCCACGCACATCTACTTCCCTAGACACCAACTTAGGACTTCATTCTCTTGCGGGGGCCCCAGGACCTGGGGCTGAGACTGGCATCATCCTCAGAGCACAGGCCTAGTGGCCAGCACTGCCCAGGAACACTAGCCCAGGCTTCTACCCGAGTCCCAACACGTGTAGGACTGGGCTGGGTAGCTTCCAGGCCCCACTGGTGCAAGGTAAGATGACGGTTCTAGAGAGAAGCCTAACACTGGCTCAGCCATGGGCACCTCCAACAAGCCACGATGGGCAGGCTGAACACATTGCCTAGGTGGACATGGGTGAACATGGGCAGACGTGTCCACCTGCTCCTCCCACCCATGGCTACTGTCAGGCCTCTCCCGGATGCCACTGACTCAGACATCAGTCACCACTGTCCTGTGAGGAGCAAACAGGACTCAAACCTCTGAGGATGACCAATGGGATGAGCCTGAGCACCTGTGGGGTTTCCAGGTGCAACCACAGTATGTGTGCCTTTCCGGCAATGTCTGTGTGTGCACAGGTGAATGGACGGGGGCATGGGGGTGGGTTATGCACGTGCACCCATCTATGTGTGGGGAGGCACACATACAGATGGGACGGAGCTAGGTCCGCATCTGCATGCACTACACAATCACAGCCAAACGCACAGTAAGCATGCCCGGCTCCTGGCAGAGGTCACTTTATTTACTCTTGCAGGACATTGAAGAATAATGTTATTGTCATTTAGCTTCCCACTTTAGAGATGAGGGAGGGCTTAAAACGTAGGGCATTCAGCCAGAGCTCCAAGTCTTTACCACTAGCGAGGAAGAGTGCTTGCTTCATGCTCGAGGGTACATGGGACTCCTTGACACACTGGGCCCCTGCATACTGGCACTGATGTTATCCTGGCTTAGTACTCCTAGCTGTGCAACCTGGGGCAAGCTAATAAACCTCTCTGAGTCTTAGTCTCCCTTGGGCCTACCTCCTGAGGTTGACAGGAGAATCAGGGGCTGGGCTGAGCTGGTCCCAGGGTGGCAAGGGTTGTGGATCACTAAGCTTCCATACCCCAGTCATGCATAGGGGTAGTGTGCTTTCCACACAAGCAGGAGAGCTACTCCACCTAGAGGGCCCTGGGGGCAGGTAAGGGACTCCCATGCGGTTGATGGAGAACTGCAGAGGGTTGGTTTCAGAGAGGACCAACAGAGCACCTTGTGGGGATGTGACAAGCAGGAGAAGCCTGGTCTTCTGGGCAGAGGCCCAGGCTGGGGAGTCACCTACAGGAGCAAAGTCCCGCAGTGCTTCTGCTCCTCCTCCTTCCCCAGGAATCAAAGGCCCACAGGAGCACTGAGGTCAGTCACAGGCAGAGATGCTTGGTAGCCCTCAAGAACTGCCTGCCTCCTTTATCTTGATCCAAGTACCAAGAAGAAAGAGAGGGAGAGAGGGGAAAGGGGGAGAAGGGAGTGAAAGGGGGAGAGAGAAGAGGGACGAATGGGGGGGGGGAGAGAGAGAGAGACTGACAGACAGACAGACAGACACAGAGGCGGGGGAGAACATGACACCAAGAGGTGTGTCCAACATGTTCAGTTAAAGCTAGGGATGTGGATGGCAAAGACCGAGTCCAGCCAACCCCAGGAAGGAACTACTCAGGCTCTGATCCAGATGCCCCATCTCAGGTCAAATTTTTTTTTTTTTTTTGAGACAGGGTTTCTTTGTAGCTTGTCCTAGACTCACATTATAGACCAGGCCGGCTTGACAGAGATCCGCCTGCTTCTGCCTCCAGAGTGCTGGTTTTAAAGGCGTGTGCCACCACCGCCAGCTTCACAGGTACTCTCTTTGGTGACCAGCTGTTAACTCAGGATCTGTCTGGCCAGTTTCTGGGAATGAATTTTAACCGAGTCTCCCCAATGTTGGCACATAGTAGTGGGGTTAGAGAAAAAGAGAGAAAAGACCAAAAGGAAAGAGAGAGGCACAGAAAGAGGAGCAGCTGAGGCTGAGCCTCTCCAGAAGGGGGCTGAGCCTGCCTGGGGGGGGGGCAGGAAGTGATGGGCACTCCCAGGCCACTGCTGTCCCCAGGGTGACCAGGCTACAATGGCCTCCTTAAGTAGGAGGATAATGCACTCATTAGGGCCAGAGTGAGGCCAGCTGTATACAATTAGGATGTTAATAAAGTCCTGTGAGGTCACTGCTCGGCCCAGGACAAAGCAGTGGTGGGGGAGGGAGAACCTAGTCCTTCCTCCCCTTCTGGAATCCTCCCAATCCCTCCAGATGCTGCCATGTGTCCTCCAGGAGGCTCTGAGTCTCCCCACTCTCCTGGTTTCACCAGAGGACCAGGCCTCACTGCTGTGGGGGAGGGGTCCACTTCAGTCAGGGGTACAGTGCTGTCGATCACCTGGGATGTTTACAGAGTTCCTGGTAAGAGCCAGGCGCTGCTCTAGCTTCCTGAAAACCACTCCCCAAGGACACTCTTGCAGGTTCTCCTTTGCCATCACCCAGGCAGGGCACACAGCTGTGCAGCCAGCAGGAGGGGCCTGGCCTTCCAGCTCCTGCCCTGGTGTCAGCCTCTTGGTCCAAACCCAGGAGTCTGAGAGAGGCTAATTTGGGGATCTGAGAGGCCTAGCAACCTTTAGGTGAGCTCTAGGCCTTACTTTTGTATCCAACACAATGTCCCAACTCTTTCCCACATGAGCTAACACTGCCCACCTCACACAGGCCTCCTAAGGCGCCCATACCCAGGTGACAAAGGTGTGTTGTGAAGTCAGGTAGTGAAGAAGTTACAGACATTTTCGATTCTGATGATTTGGGTTTTGGGGGACCAGATGCCTATCCTACCAGAATCCTCAAGCAGCACCTGAGCAGCTACCAAAAATGCCTCCATTCTGCCCCTCCTCCTCTTTAGAACCCTCGTTTTTTTTCCTGGAGAAGGTGGGAGATGTAGCGAGGAGGGAAGGACGGTCCAGGCATACATCACCAGCATCCACC